GAGACCCCAAGGAAATAGATGCCAGTAACTCCCAGGTATTAAATAAGCTGCAATATTGTCACTTATAAAGCCGTTGGAAGAAAACCATTTGAAGCTCTTGGCTCTTATCCAATGACATGTAAATTATGGTAAGTTAGTTCTTTATATGTTTTGGATACTAACCCTTTATCAGATATGTCATCTGCAGATATTTTCGCCCATTCTGCAGGTTGCCTTTTAGTTTTGTTGATTGTGTCCTTCACTGTGCAGAAACTTTATTTTCATGAATTCTTAATAGTTTATTTTTGCTTTTGTTTTCTTTGCTTCAGGAGACATACATGGTAAGAAGTTGCTATGGTTGATGTCAAAGAGTTACTGCCTGTGTTCTGTGCTAGGATTTTGATGGTTTCAAGTCCCACATTTAGGTCTTTAATCCATTTTTAATTTATTTTTGTATATGATGAAAGAAAGGGTTCTAGTTTCATTCCTTTGCATGTTGCCGTCCAGTTTTCCCAACATCATTTGTTGAAGAGACTCTTTTTCCATTGGATATTTTTTCCTGCTTTGTAGGAGGTTAATTGGCCACACAGTTGTGGGTTCATTGCTGGGTTTTCTGTTCTGTTCCATTGATCTCTGTGTGTACTTTTGTGTCCGTACCATACTGTTTTGATCACTACAACTTTGTAATATAACTTGAAGTCTGGAATTGTGATGTCTCCAGCTTTGCTTTCCTTTTTCAAGGCTTCTTTGGTTATTTGGGGGTCTTTTTTGGTTCCACACAAATTTGAGGATTGTTCATTTCTGCGAAAAATGCTGTTGCTCTTTTGATAGAGATTCCATTAAATGTGTAGATTTCTTTGGGTAGTATAGACATTTTAATAATATTTATTCTTCCAATCCATGAGCATGGAATCTTTTTCCATTTCTTTGTGTTGTCTTTAATTTCTTTCATTAGTGTTTTATAGTTTTACTCAGTACAGGTCTTTCACCTCTGGTTAGGTTTATTCTTAGGTATTTTATTGTTTTGGGTGAAATTGAAATTCTTATTGGTTCATTAATTTCTCTTTCTGCTGTTTCGCTATTGGTGTATAGAAATGCAATAGATTTTTGTATGTTGATTTTGAATTCTGTGATTTCACTGAATTCATGTATGTGTCAGTTCTGGCAGATTTTTGGTGGCATCTTTTGGGTTTTTTATATAGAATATCATGTTATCTATAAATAGTGAAAGTTTGACCTCTTTCTTGCCTATTTGGATGGATACCTTTTATTTCTTTTTGTTGTCTGATTGCTAGGACTTCCAGTACTATTTTAAATAACAGTGGTGAGAGTAGACATCTCTGTCTTATTCCTGACTGTAGAAGAAAAGCTTTCAGTTTTTCCCACTAAGGATGATATTAACTGTGGGTTTTTCATATTTGGCCTTTATTGTGTTGGGGCATATTCCCTCTAAACCTAATTTGTTGAGGGTTGAACGGATGTTGTACTTTGTCAGATGCTTTTTCTGCATCTATTGAAATGATCATATGGTTCTTATCCCTTCTTTTATTAATGTGGTGTATCATGTTGATCGATTTGTAAATATTGAACCACCCTTGCAACCCTGGAATAAATCCCTCTTGTTTTTAATTTTTTTTTAATGTTTATTTATTTTTGAGAGACAGAGAGAGACAGACAGACCACAAGCTGGGGAGGGGCAGAGAGAGAGAGGGAGACACAGAATCCCAAGCAGGCTCCAGGCTCTGAGCTGTCAGCACAGAGCCGGACTTGGGGCTTGAACTCACGAACCGTGAGATCATGACCTGAGCCGGAGTCAGATGCTTAACCGACTGAGCCACCCAGGTGCCCCTGGAATAAATCTCCTTTGATCATGGTAAATGATTTAAGGAATTTATAAAACTCAACACCCAAAAAACAAATAATCGAATTAAAATGTGTAGAAGACATGAATAGACATTTTCCCAAAGAAGACATCCAGATGACCAAGAGACACATTAAAAGATGCTCAACATCACTCATGATCAGGGAAATACAAATCAAAACTGTAAAGAAATATCACCTCACACCTGTCAGAATGGCCAAAATCAACAACACAGGAAACAACAGGTGTTGGCAAGGGTGTGGAGAAAGGGGAACCCTCCTGCACTGTTGGTGGGAGTGCAAACTGGAGCAGCCACTCTGGAAAACAATATGGAGTTTCCTCAGAAAGTTGAAAATAGAACTGCCCTATGATTTAGCAATTGCGCTACTAGGTATTTACCCAAAGAATACTAATTCAAAGGGATATATGCAACCTGATGTTTATAGCAGCATTATCTACCATAGTCAAATTATGGAAGCAGCCCAAGTGCCCATTGACTGATGAATGGATAAAGAGGGTGTATTGTATATATATACACAATGGAATACTTGTCAGCCATAAAAAAGACTGAAATCTTGCCATTTGAAACAACGTGGATGGAACTAGAGGGTATTATGTTAAGCATGATCAGTCAGAGAAAGACACGGTATGATTTCACTCGTGGAATTTAAGAAACAAAATAGATGAGCAAAGGAAAAAAGGGAGTCAAACCAAAAAACAAAAAATTTTTTTAATAAAGCGTCTGTATTTATCTTAGAGAGAGAAAGACAGCGAGCACAAATGGGGAGAGGGGCAAAGAGAGAGAAGAGAGGGAAACCCAATCAGGCTCCGCACTGTCAGTGCAGAGCCCAACACAGGGCTTAAGCTCACAAACTGTGAGATCATGACCTGAGCCCAAATCAAGAGTCAGATGTTTAACCTATTGAGTCACCCAGGCGCCCCACAAACTTTTAACTATAGAGAACAAACTGATGTTTACCACAGGGGAGATAGGTAGGGACATGGGTAAAATAGGTGACGGGGATTAAGGAGGACACTTGTGATGAGCACCAGGTGATGTATGGAAGTGTTGAATCAAGATATTGTACACCTGAAAACAGTATAAAAACTTTAAAAAGTTAAGGTAAGTTGGAAATAGCAGAGGATTTTTGGAACAAGTTCTGTTGTTGCAGAGGTATGGGAGTGCTTCCCTCTCACATCAAGCCTAAGGAAAGGCTTAAGAGGAACCACTAAGAATTTTCAGTCTGCATCTCTGGGAACTCTGAGGACACAGAGGACTGACATCTGGTTCGTTTGTGGAGAGGCGCTGTTGTTGGGCTAGCTGCTCTACGGAGGAGAAGTTGTCACACTGAAGATAGTCTGTCCTTTTACTATTTGTTGGGACAAAGAATGGTTGAGCTGTTCCACCTGCCAGATAGGGGTCACATGTGAGAGTCTTCTCTTGCCTGCTCAACTAGGCATCTGGAGGGGTAGGAATTCCAGCAAAATAAAGGCATGTGAGATGTACTGAGAAAAGAATTGTGAGCAACCAGTTCAAGAACATGCTTCCACCCAATTTAAGGGAATCACAAAGGGGACCCTTAGTGATTAAATATTATCCAGACTGCAACCCTTCTGCCCTTTCCCCTTGCATTTCTGATCCCCTTTATTTTCTTAGTATGTAACTTCTAACATACCATGTAAGTTACAGATTAGTCATCTTTTCTTTTAATGTTTGTTTATTTCAGAGACAGAGCATGAGTGGGGGAGGGGCAGAGAGAGGGAGACACAGAATCAGAAGCAGGCTCCAGGCTCCGAGCTGTCAGCACAGAGCCTGACATGGGGCTTGAACTCACAGACCACAAGATCATGACCTGAGCCGAAGTCGGATGCTCAACCGACTAAGCCACCCAGGCGCCCCGTAGTCATCTTTGTATTTTCTAGACGCTAAGATCCAAAAAGGCAGGGATCTTTGTACATGTTGTTCACTGATAGTTCCCAATCACCAGAATGGTATTTGGGTCATGATAGGTACTAAAAAAAAAGAAATATTTGCCTAATTTGAATATGAATTGAATTGGTATCTCCAAAGAGCAATGGAATAGCCCATGCAAGTAAATATTAAACACCTCCCCTTCCCAGACCCCCAGGGTGAGAGCATAGTGATCTAACAGCAGTCAAGTCCAGCATTTCCTTCTCTGATCTCCCTTTTCTGTTCATTCTCTAACCTTGACCTACAATTCTGGAGAGGCTGGAGGTGGCTTAGTCAGTGTGCAACTAGAAACAAAAACTCAAAAAGGGTTAATAGGGAGGAGACTGACCTTTTTCCCAGTACAGGTAACCTGCCCAAGGAACACCTGAGCTGGAAGGGAGTAAAGCTTTAATTGTAACTAAAATTCAGTTTTACTATTAGTATTACTAATAATATACTGGACTGAACATAAAAAAAAAAAAAAAAAGGCTGGAAAACTATAAATGACTGGAGGAATGTTTGGTTACCTAAAGTTGACCTGAAAAGTCATGGAGGCTGCAAAAGGTTTCATCCAAATGCCTTGAGGGTTTGGAATGGGAAAACTTCTGATAACATTCCACCAGCTCTGCTTCTTCCATAAACCAGGCACATTCGCATGTTAAACTCACTCATATTCTTTTCCTCATTTACAGCACATTCCCTCCTGTCAAAATCCTGACTATCCTTTTACATGGACATGTTGGGACTGTTTCTTCTCCAGTATCACAGACATTTCAAGTCCAGAGTTTATGCCCAATAGCCCTCATTTCCAGCATGTAATAAAGTGCCTGACACATTTAAAGCACTTAATAAATGTTTGATGAGTGAAGAAATGAATAAACGATGGGACTTCTTGAGATCAGAAAGCTTTATGAGCGGTAGGAGGGACAAACTTTATTCTAAAGTATATAGGACTGAAAATTACATAAGTAAAATGAGTGAGTGTGTGTCATTTATTGAAGACCTAGTAAAGGTCCAATCAGTTTCTCTTGGGTGAAAGAATGAATGAATGAATTCATGCATGCATGCATGCTAACATAAATGAATGTGTGAAAAATGGCTGCATATATAGGCAAGGTTAAAAGAGTAAACACAATTTTGTTGGTTTATTTATTCATCTATATATCAATAAAATTATTTGGTCCTTGTTTTTTTTTTTTGTTTTTCCAGATGATCCTTGTATTTGTACTAAGCATTGGGTCTCTCATAATCTATTTCATCAACTCTTCTGAGTGAGTAAAATCCCCAGTCATCCTTGTCTTCTGTGTCATTAGGTTGCCAGGTAATTTGGAATTTTCTGCCGGGAGTAATGTTTAATATGCTTTCAGGCATACACACATATAAACTCATAAAAAAAAGAGGTGAGTGTTCCCCCCATGAAGCACTAAATCTAGTTTCACCGGAAAATGCATGAGTTTCCCTGCATTGCGCATTGCTACGGGCTGTGGTGCTGTATACACATCTATTTTAGAGTCTCTGAGACTAGAAGCCTCCAGCTGTGGTCTCCACCCTTGGACCACTCCTGAGGGTGTTCTGTGTCTTTGGAATCCTTAAGTGTTGAAACAGAATATTTATAGTTGTTTCAGGGTTTGTCATAGGTTTCAAACAACTTTGGATGGGTTTGAAGAAGGAACATGCTAGATCTCACCTGGGATAAAGGAGCAAGTTATTGTCTGCTCCTCTCTGAAGCCATTCTCATCTTCTATACCTAGGTTAGGATGGTTTCTTGGACACAGCCTAATCTAATCTGAGCTCCACGCCGATCAACTGGGAATTACACTGGATTTCTAGCTGAAGTAAAATTGGTATTATGGGGCCACAGAAGTCAGGCAATTTTGGAAATGCTAGGGAAACTAGTAGTCTTTGCTTTGTGAACTCCTTACTGACCTTTTAGGAAATTTTCTTTACATTTGGGTTCATATCAGTCCATTTGACTTAGTGTAGGTCTGTATGAGAAGGGCACAGATGTCAAAATGTCCTGGCTGGGCAGATAGTTTTGCAAACCAAGAAGAGCCACATAATCTCTGTGCATCTGAATCCTCATCGATAAAACAGAAATAGAACCAATAAACTCTATGAAAGGACGAACACGTAATTGTCCTGTTATTTTCAGCTCCACATGCAGTCCTGTGGTTTTGTTTGTGCATACCTTTCCTCCCAAGGGAAAAGTAATTTCCTTAAAATGTGAACGTAAGTGTCTTGGATTAACCATTCATGGTGAATAAATAGAACATTGCCTACTCTTTATTTGGTCTTCTATAGTAAAACTTTTAAAATGTACATCTGTATAAATGGTTCTTATTTCTTTTCCAGCCCTGTTGGAAGCTGTTCTTCATACCAAGACAAAACCATCCCTATTGATTTGACTTTCAGTGTGTTCTTTAGTTTCTATTTTGGGTTGAGAGTAAGTATCTATGGAAAGTGGGAGGAAACAAATGAACACCACAGGTGCAACGTAAAGAGGTCTTTATGTGCCTTAGTTGTACGATCTGCCTCTGTTTTCAGGCTCTACAGCTAGAGGGTGTGTGCCCTAACCTGTCCAATGTATAAAGAGACATGAAAACTCTCCCTTGCACTTAACACTGTATCTAGGCCAAAACTTCTGGTGCAAATGAAAACATATATACACACACACATATATCTGTATTTTTATGGCCTTCCTTCAAAACTTAACTCTGACCACACTGACCATCAAAATCTTTTTATAGTAATTTATCCCTCTATATATGCTTGCTTTCTTAATCCAAATAGGGAAGCTCATAGACACAGGTCTTGGCCAGCCAAACTTCTAGATAGTTGTACTTTTTCCATTAAGGGCCATTCTAAATCATGTATCTTTGTTCACAAGTAGGAGGCTTTAGGGGCACCTGGGTGGCTCAGTTGGTTAAGCGTCTGACTTCAGCTCATGTCATCATCTTGCCGTTCATGAGTTCAAACCCCGCATCAGGCTCTGTGCTGACAGCTTTGGAGCCTGGAGCCTGCTTCAGATTCAGTGTCTCCCTCTCTCTCTGCCCATCCCCCACTCACACTCTGTCTCTGTCTCTCAAAAATGAATACATGTTAAAAAAATTTTAGGAGCGCCTGGGTGGCTCAGTCGGTTAAGTGGCCGACTTCGGCTCAGGTCATGATCTCACGGTCAGTGAGTTCAAGCCCCACATCGGGCTCTGTGCTGACAACTCAGAGCCTGGAGCCTGTTTCAGATTCTGTGTCTCCCTCTCTCCGACCCTCCCCCGTTCATGCTTTCTCTGTCTCAAAAATAAATAAACGGTAAAAAAAATTTTTTAAAGGAGGCATTATAAAATTCTATATATCAGAAAGCTCTAAGAGCATCAATAGGTTCAAAGTGTTTATTCTGATGTGTAAGTGTTAAGATCTGGTGAGTAAAATGGGTTCATGTTCATTTACTGCACACCCATTAAAGGAAGTTCTTTGTAAAAAAAAAAAAATTGAGTTTATTTATTTATTTTGAGAGAGAGGGAGAGAGACTGAGAAGGGGAGGGGCAGAAAGAAGGAGAGTGAGAATCCCAGGCAGGCTCCATGCTGTCATCTCAGAGCCAGATGCGGGCTAAGAGATCATGACCTAAGCCGAAACCCAAGAGTCATGCTTAACCGACTGAGCCACCCAGGTGCCCCTGAAGGTACAGTCTTTATATAAATACATATTTATCTACATGTCTATACTAATATATATTCAAGTATATAGCTATCTGAATACACATGCGTGTGTATGTATAGGTATGTAATAGATTGAGATCAAAGCTTCAGTTGAGTGAGATGAGTTGATAAAGCCACTGGTATGTTCATTTTTAAATTCTCGAGGGTAACAGAATATGGAGTCTTTTGTTTCCATTTCATAGTTTGTGGCAGCGGATGACAAGATCAAGTTTTGGTTGGAGATGAATTCAATTGTAGACATCTTTACTATTCCACCAACCTTTATTTCTTATTATTTGAAGAGTAACTGGCTAGGTAAGTGCGTTGTTGGAATTAGGTGTAGTCTCTCAAAAATAAATAAATTTAAGTCTTCCACTTTCACTCATAAGTATCCTTCATTTCCATTTTTTAAATGACCTAAATGCCATTTAAGACCATTTTTCACCATGATTATATGATTTTGTAATATATTTTCAAAACCTGTTATTTTTTTAAACCTCAGTACCTGGTAACGTACCTGATGCACAGTAGGTGACACTGGTTATTTATTGTTTGTGGACTGATTCATCCACTGCCTGAGAGACAAGGTCCAAACCCCCCATCCCCCTGAGGCACCTATATGCTAGAATCCCACGGGGACTGGAAGAGATGAAAAGTCTCCACTGGTCTCTCAAAGCAATAAATCATCATATCCAGACAGGCTGTGACATGTTAGATATCTATCTAACTGCTTACTTTGTCTTTATGGGCAGTGCATGGACATTAGGTGGCTTCTATCAGTTTTTATGGAATTTTATATTATTATTTATTACCTATCAAATATTCCTTGCTGTTGTAATTATCAAACTACATAAAGTAAAATATCATGGGAAAGCTGAGGAACAGACCATAGAGATTCTATAATCAGGAGTTTAAGTGGTTAATAACTAATTTACTGTCTGTTCTAAAGAGGAATTCTATAGGGTGAAATGTGAGTAGTGCTTATTATATGCGAGGCCTGCTCCCACATGCTTTCTATGATTAGTTCAACAGCCCTATGGGCTAGGTACTTTTAATTCCCATTTTGTAGATGAGGAACTAGAGACATGAAGGGAATTGCTTTAGATTACAAAAGCTGTTAAGCGTCAGGGCCAGGATCTGAACTAGAGCTCATGCCCTTAAACCCGTGGCCTTACATTGTATGTGAGCATCTCAGAGATAGAAAGAAGGTAAGTAGTCCCGATTGTGTTACAACCCTGACTACTTCCGGAAGTGACCCTCTTCTTTTGGCAGATTTGTCCTTTTGATTGCTTTGTAGGTTTAAGGTTCTTAAGAGCTTTGCGGCTGCTAGAGCTCCCTCAAATCTTGCAAATTCTCCAAGCCATCAGAACCAGGTAAATGCTAGCCCTGCTGTAAGTCCTGCTTGCTTGCTAGTTTGGATTAGGAATTAAAAATGTAAACTGAACCTTCAGTTCCTTTTGCATCGGAATTTCAGTGTAAACCCCATGAAATCCCTTAGCTCCCAAGATATTATTCATCCCCTTACTCCTGTTGTATTCATATCACATGCTGACTAGGAAGTTGACAATCATTTGAGTCTGTTTTGTAGAGCTACATTGTGTAAGTCCATTTAGACTTTAATTCTGCCTCCTCCCCCCCAAAAAAAATTAAAATAAAAGCAATCCAAAGGTTTTGGTTCTATGTACTTGCTATCATGAATCACGTCTCTTCTATCTGGGAATGTGAGACAGTTTTTCTGACCATGAGGCACCCAGTAGCAGCAATGAAATCGCTTACAAAAATAGAGCTGCCTAAATGTCTCAAAAAAAATTGCAAACTACCTTTGAGCAGCAATATTTCTAAAGTGTTATGCAGTTTGGTTTAATGTTACCCACTGAAAATCTTCATGCTTCTATGTTCTCCCCAGAAACATCAAATTTTATAGGCCAGGTGATTTCGCTGCTAGGCGTTTGTGCATCATGGAGCAGTTGGGATTAGAAAGGGCTGTTCTTGTGTAACAGGTAACCCTACCTGAAAACCACAGAGATTTCAGCTAAACTCTAGAACTTTACTTAGGACATAGGAGCTTGTCCAATCCTCTTCACTGAAAGAGCCTGGTATGAGTTTAGCGAGACATTTCTGTGATCTACTCAAAATTCCATTTTGCAGACCCATTCTCTGGATTCCCAGGACACTGCACTTTGCACTGTTACTTTAGACAATGTGGCAATCTATTAAATTTAGTTTATGATGATACATATATATTTGTAAAAGCAATATAATATCAGGCTGGTGGATAGCATAGCAAAGTGTAAAATTTTTGAACAAGCGTGTGTGACTGGGTATGTTCAGAACTGGGCATCTCAGACTCTAATGTGCATATGAATCAAACAGAGGATCCCTACAACAATGCAGATCTGTAGATCAGGGGTGGGGCCTGGGATCCTGCATTTCTAATAATGCTCCCAGGTAAGCGTACCATTGCTTCTGGCCCATGAACCACACTTAGAATAGTCGGATTTTAGAGGACTTGTGTTGTTCTGGAATCTGTCTGAACCCAACAACTTTTTGTCTTTCTTCCTCTAGCAGTTCAGTGAAGTTTTCCAAACTGTTATCAATAGTCCTCAGTACCTGGTTCACTGCTGCAGGATTCATTCATCTGGTAAGCATTTCCTCAAACTCAAGTGTTTCTGGTCAGCATGAACATCTTTTCTTTAAAAAATTGCAGGCAGACCTTCTGAACTCCTGTCTCTTTCACTGTAACCAGTGTGCAGTTTATGTTTTTACCTCCCCTTTCTTGGTCTTCTGCACTCCCATATTCTCCACAAATACGTGTTTCCTACACTCAAGGTATCTATGTTCCTTCCTTCAACATTCAAAACTTGATCTTAAGAAAGGATCTAATAAGCTTACACTTCAAAATTATAAGCAGTAGGTGAACCTTATTGTTGTATCTTCATAGGAGTCTCAGCATTTAAAAAAAAAGTCAAAGAAATGAAAGCAGTGAGAAACTGTCACACTTAGGAACTAGGAGAGTTGTGGGAGACAAATTGCTAGGTTACAAAGGGGAGCTTTAGGGCTTTCTCAGTTCTCCCGAAATCCATCTGCATATATAGCTGCCTCCTTTGCCTGTAGGAGAGGCTCATTTTTTTTTAATGTTTTAAAAACTTATTTATTTTTGAGAGAGAGAGAGAGAGACAGCTTGAGTGGGGGAGGGGCAGAGAGAGAAACAGAATCCCAAGTAGGCTCCAGGCTCTGAGCCATCAGTACAGAGCCTGATGCGGGCCTAGAACTCACGGGCTGTGAGATCATGACCTGAGCTGAAGTTGGATGCTTAACCAACTGAGCCACACAGGCATCCCAGGTGCCCCAAGGCTCGTTCTTATCCCACATAATCAGAATTATAATAAATGGATTTCAGCAATAAGGAATAAACTCTTGGACTTCATTGCTTGAGGACAGTTGAGCAGTCATTGAAAATGCAGAAATTGAAATAGGATGTTGCAAGCAAAGGTCTTTGAGAAAAGGAAACAAAACAAAAAGCACAGCAGGAGTCTTTTTCACTTGAGTCCTCTCAAAATTAATTAAAGCATTAATGGTAAAACGGAAAAAGAATTTTAAAGTTACCATCTTCAGCTGATCAAGAAAAATGTCAAACACCAAATGCAAACCATGATCTGAGCCTTCAAGAGATCTGAAACCAGCTACATCCCTCCTCCATCCTCAAGCAGGAGAGAAATTTCCTTGAAAGAAGATCACAGTAGTACGAGTGGATCCCTGGATCTAGAGGGTTCCACCTGGGTGCATGGGCCCGCCATGGGAGCAGCAATCATCAGTGTCTTTCTGGAGACCTGCTGGCCATCACAGAATGGTAGGCAACAGTGCTCGAGGAGAAGCTTTTTTGTCATCAATAGCAGTTCCCCATGAAGGGCTCTTAGGCTGAATGTGGCCTATAGACCTATTTTCTTTGACCTAATTATGTTTGTATTTTCTGCTCTAATTTTTTATTGCTTTCTAACTTTTACAGAGAACTCACATAAAATCCCAGATTTCTGGATTCTTTGGGAAAATACAAAGTTTGGCAATCCGGTCTCTCAAGGCCACTACCAGTCCTAGCTGTAGACTTGATGCTCTCTGTTAACAGCATGTGCTCTTGAATTGGACACAGCCAGGCTCACTTGAATCAAAGTCTCTTGCTTAACCCTTCTAAGCATGTGAACCTTGCTAGTCACCCAGGTGAGGAGACCTCCAGCAAGGATGTATGCAGAGAAAGAAGAAGCAACCAGATGGCTTGTGACTTAAGGGGATCCACTGTGAGTCACCCCAATGTCTGGAATGTTGAAAGCCTAGAAGAGCTATATCCCAGAACATAGAAAATGGCAGATTTGCTTGGGAGGATATTTGAAATGACAAACCAAAATAAAAACTATAATTGTCCCAACTCACCAGCTGCACATATAACTACTGGCCTTCACCTAAAAGTTGATACCCTCAGGGCATCTGGGTGGCTCACTCGGTTAAGCATCCGACTTCGGCTCAGGTATGATCTCGTGGTTTGTGAGTTCGAGCCCCATGTCAGGCTCTGTGCGGACAGCTCAGAGCCTGGAGCCTGCTTCAGATTCTGTGTCTCCCTCTGTCTCTACCCCTCCCCCACTCACACTCTGTCTCTCTCTCCTCCAAAAATAAATAAACATTAAAATTTTTTTTTTTTTTTAAATTTGATACCCTCAAAAGGTGAGTGTTAACCAGAAGTAATCAAGAAGGGGCCTATGCTTAAATTCTGCCAAAAATAACAAGGGGGTATAGTGGAGAAAAGAGAGACATCAGCATAACAACAGTTATTTAATATAACACTTAAAAGAACAATAATTACAAGATAATTTGTCCAAGGAAACGGAGAAGAAAAAAAATCCATATTTGAGAAAAAATGCAAATAAAAGGGCTTAAAAACTAAAAGTACTAATTCAAACAAAATACATAAGGTTTTAAATAAAAGACTATTAAACCGTAGCAGGAGTTGGAAAACAGGCTGAATGATATCAGAGAAAAAGAAGAATGATATCAGAGGAAAAAGTATTACAGAGCTGAAAATGACATTAGAGGAAACCAAAATGTAATCAAACGTGACACAAACATGCTCAGGAACATAGTGGACAGGATTGCAGCAATGTGACATGGAAAAGAACAAAGGCATTCCAGCAATGTCAACTGAACATACTCTAAAATTAGTGTTCCTAGAGCAAAGGACAAGACAGGTGACACCAGAAGAAGCCACCAAAATAAAGTCTTGAATCTGTGGGTTAAAAAAAATTAATGTTTATTTATATTTGAGAGAGACAGAGACAGAGCGTGAGTGGGGGAGGAACAGAGAGAGGGAGACAGAGCCCCCGAAGCAGGCTCCAGACTCCGAGCCCACAGCCGGATGCAGGGCTCAAACTCACAAACTGTGAGATATGACCTGAACTGAGATTGGATGCTTAACCAACAGAGCCACCAAGGCACCCCTTAAATCTGTGGGTTAAAGGGTATATCATGTCCCAGTGTTGCAGGATTCTTTAGCTCAATACCCAGGGAACCTTGTCTTGCCACTTCGAAGAATGAAGAGGAGAACACAGAATAAAATGAGCAGCAGGCAAAAGTTTTTATTAAAAAGTAAGAATAGTGGAAGCAAGGGTAGTACAAAAACTCTCTTTGAAGGTAAGGGGCACATGAAAGTGAATGCCCCAGATGATAGGCAAGGGACTTTATTTTATAGGGTTTTGGCCCATTCCTTTTTCTTTTTTCCCTTTGTTTCTTTTTAGGTTCTTTTTTTTTTTTTTTTTTTTTTTTATTGGTCTGATAACTATAAATGCAGACTTGTTTATTCCTGAGGGGAACCTGGGGCAGGAGTAGGTGGTGCTTGTTACATTCGTAAGGAAAACTTTGTGTCTGAGAGAGTTTTCCTCATGGTCAGGCCCAGGAGAGTTTTTTCCGAGGTAGTTTTTCTCATGGGTAGATGTTCCTAGCATTCTTTTCAAATATGTGGTTTGCTCGCTCCCAGGGACCGTCAAGCCCTAGCCTCTCCCTTTCTGCCTACTGAATCCTATCTTTCCCTATCATACCAGGAAAAATGACACAAATTATTTATTCCAACCATATTATGGAGCAGTTTACTGATTTTCAAGGATAAGGAGAGAATCCAAGCAGAACCAAGCAAAGTCTATAAAAGGGGGAGAAATGAAACTCACCTTGGATTTGTCAATGTCTATTGATACCAGAAGGTGATAGAGTAGGGTCTGCAAAGTTGGTGTGAAAGTATAAGCTATCCTGTCATTTTAAATATTCAAGAGAAAATAGCACCCAGGAGTCCCTTTTAAAAGCATATCTCGAGGGGTGCCTGGGTGGCTCAGTTGATCAAGTGTCTGACTCTTGGTTTCAGCTCAGGCCATGATCTTGCAGTTCGTGTGATTGAGCCCCACGTTGGGCTCTGCACTGGCAATGTGGAGCCTGCTTGGGATTCTCGCTCTCTACCCCCCTCTGCCCCTCTCCTGCTTGTATGTGCATGAGCTCTCTCTCAAAATAAAAATAAATAAACTTAAAAAATAAGTACCTTGATGGTAAAATCCAGCCATATACGAGATGAATCAAAACTAGGAACTCAGGAATGAGGAAACCATGATATAAAGTAATGGTGGGGATTATTGAATGAATTAAAAACAGTGCAAAGGCATAGCCAAAGGAATTATGGCTACAGACTAGGGCACACATGTACCATGTAAAGATAACATAACTTGTGTGAGTGATGGCAAGGTAAGAGGAGAGGGGGGATCCCCCTAGCGTCCTCCATAGCATTTCTTATCTGAAGTTGAACAATGTCAAGCTTGAAACATAAAATTTCAGTTCTGAAATATGAAGTTAAAAATAGATGATAACTCAGTATCTTAACATTGGTCCAAAATCCTTTACCTTAACTTTATCTTATCTCCCATCTGGGTCTCTGCTCACATGGTTTTGGAGGAAGAGCAGAGTGGACAAGGGGGCCAGCAGCAGGCCACCAACTCTTAGAGAGTGCTGGGAGGGAGGGAGGGAAGAGGTTTGAAACACTAAATACCCCCAAAGAGAGTGAGCTGAACCTTAAAACTGTTACTTAATTTATTGTGAGGGAGAATTCCAGGTTGCAATAAACTTAGTTTTAGTTTATACAACAGGTTGTACCAGGATACGATCTAATCCCTGTGCTATGATGCTGTTAACGGACACTATGGGGTTTCAGCTTAAAACTGTCTCAGGCAACTCTTTTAATCCTGAGGGAATATATATGACATAATCTGTATGTTTTAAACTGGTTTTCTTAGAATGTACTAGTCTCAGACAACAGTGAAGACTCCAGAAGTTAGTGGAAGCAGATTACTAGACTTTGCAACAAAACCCTCTGCCAGCTTTGGGAGTTAAGTGTACATGTATGATCCCTTTCTTATTTTGGAATAGGGTATTATAAGGAGTCCATACTCTTAACCTACTCCTCAAACTTAAGAAAAGGTCACTTTTAAAAAGTGGTCAAATACCTGAGCGAACTATTTTATTTCTAATTTCTATTTCAGTTCTTTTTTTTTTTTTTTTTTAGAATTTTTTTAACGTTTATTTATTTTTGAGAAGAGAGAGACACAGCATGAGCAGGGGAGGAGAGAGAGAGGGAGACACAGAATCTGAAACAGGCTCCAGGCTCTGAGCTGTCAGCACAGAGCCCGACATGGGGCTGAGACTCCCGGACTGTGAGATCATGACCTGAGCCAAAGTCGGATGCTCAACCAACTGAGCCACCCAGGCGCCCCTCTATTTCAGTTCTTAACAACAAAACAAAAAACCTACTTTTCCAGGCATCTCTAACATCTTAACATTTTTGCTCTAAATAGAAATGGGAAACATCCAAGAAATATGTAAGATATTTGGGAAAAAATGTCAAAAAATGGAAAAAGAAAGGAAAGTTGTATACATTATATAATTGTCATTTATAATATATAATAATATATGACATATCGTATATTTATAAGTTTATATATACCATAAATACATAGTGCCATTGCCTAAGTTACTCATTTTAATATAAAAAGGTAATCTAATGAGTTTAATTTTCTTAAAATGTGAAGACTTAGGGAGAAATCAGAGGAAATATTCTTCAGAGTTTTTTTTTAATCACTGAAAAAAATTTTTTTTTTTTTTGGCAGGGAGTGGCGGTGGGGAATAATGTGGAAATTTGTTTGCTTTTTCTTAGACACTAGCCTTCATTCTCTTAAGCACATTGAAGTGAAGTGCTCATGTAAGTGCTTCCTTTTCAATAATAACCCTGAGCTACTGGTAAATAAGAATAAATAATAATTGCTCGATTTCAGAACCTGGCTTATCTGAGTCTCATGGCTGTAGAATGCAGTGATTTGCCCAAAGAAAGGAAATAGATATGGGCAGCCAGTACCCCTGGGGAGCTCTCCAAATGTGGGCCCAAGCTACATCCTCCCTCAGAGTTCAGCAGTAATCGCAGTGAAGAAAACAAGACTTCACGATCTCTACACACACTTTGCAAACCCTTTAACACAGGCTAGGAATCATTAATACTTCATTTGGATTGAATTAAGTGAAACTAATCCAATGTTTTTCCTATTCTTTGTAAACATTCCGTTGGATTCCATTCAGAGACCTTTCCTGAATCTCCTCTTTTTGAACAGGTGGAAAATTCTGGTGATCCCTGGCTCAAAGGTAGAAATTCACAGAACATATCATATTTTGAATCTATTTACCTGGTCATGGCAACAACGTCAACTGTTGGCTTTGGAGATGTGGTAGCCAAGACATCCCTAGGACGGACCTTCATCATGTTTTTCACCCTGGGGAGTTTGGTGAAGAATATTTTTAATATCTTTGAATATAGCTACATTAACCCGACACATGTAGTTAGTGGTGATAAATAAAGCAATACAGGTTTGAGAGTGAATGTTGCATTATTCAGAGCAAGTGTGAAATGAAAACGGAAAGATACTTAGATCCCATGTTTTCCAAACTGCATCCTCTGGAGCACGTGATTCAATTGCATGATTGCCAAAGATGAGGATGGCAGACAAAGAAGAGCAGACTTTATTTATTAGTCTGCATTGAATTGAGCAATCCTATATTCCTTTACCTCTTGCCCATCAGACTAAAGTCTTTCTTCCAATGAGGAAGGGCATTTGAGATTTGATTTGAATGAGCCAAATGAGTAACTCTCTCTGAGCTAGCATTTTACTTCAGATATGTGAACATCTGTGCTTGGTTCAAGAGTGTATCATGGACAAAGGAAACCTCTTTTAGTTACTTTAACTTCAGCTCCTTAAAAACCGGTAACGGAGTTCTCCCCTCCACCTTTCTGATACTCCCCTGTCCATATTATTACATCCCCTCATTTCAGTCATTTCCCCTAAACCTCTCTCTGTCCCACGTTTTATTTTTTTTCTAAGCCTCACATAGTATCACGTCAGAAGAGGCAGAAGTACAGTTAGTTGTGACTAGAGGACAAAAGGGACAGGAAGGGTGCCTTACCACTTGTCTTTGCTTTCATAATTTGGAATGCTGCAAAGCATTTTATTTGATTTAAACCAAATCCAAAGGTCAAGGAAGAAAAACGGCCTGCCTTTTGAAATACAGTTCACAGATAAGAGAAAGTTTTATGCACCTTCTTCCTCTTTTATAATCTCAGAGTTTTAGAATGTCCTTGAAAACAATGAGATCTGGGGGTGCCCGGGTGGCTCAGTCCATTAAGCATCCAACTTCAACTCAGGTCATGACCTCACACAGTTCATGGGTTCGAGCCCCTCATTGGGCTCTATGCTGACAGCTCAGAGCCTGGAGCCTGCTTCAGATTCTGTGACTCCCTCTCTCCCTGCCCTGCTCGTGCGCTCTCTCTCTCTCTCTCTCTCTCTCTCTCTCTCTCTTTCTCAAAAACAAATAAACAATAAAAAAATGAAATCTAAGATTTTATTTGCTGATCATTCTAGATCCTATTTGCGAACTATGTCCCTGAAATGGTGGAAATTTTTGCTAACAAGAGGAAATACACCAGTCCCTATGAGGTGGTCAAAGGGAAGAAGTAAGTAGCTTTCAAGCATAATTTCTGCAGTTTGAGAAATTCTACTAGTCACATATCTCTTTAAAAATGCCCGTCGCTTGGCCTAAAGTGAATATATTGGCAAGTTCCTTCATTTACTGAAGAGGGTTGTGCTAAAATAAATACCATAAGATGATATTTGGTACTTGATAAAAACAACTATGTAGATGCTGGTAAGAGCAGTAAAACAACTAAAATGACAGATAATATTATCATTCCCTATCAAATATTAAGTGTGGCAATATTTCTGCATCCCTCATCACTGTGCTCTTAACATCTATTACTGTTCTGTTCGTTTTAATCATGTGGTTAACTTACGGCTAATTTCACATAATGGATCAAATTAAAGCCGCAGTTCAAATTTAAAATAATTACTTCGACTCTGTGGTCTCAGCCAAAATTCCACTAACACCATATGGGGGGCTCATTCACAGGCAGAGGTTTGCTGGAGTGAAGAGAAATTTCCACGTCTTCTACAACACTTCATAGATCACCTGTTTTGTCCATGTCACAGCCACCTGTTTTGGGAGGAAAATGGAGTTGGAGTTGTTTTTTATCATATTTCTCTGTGATGTGTTATTTCAGTATCCACTATGGTTTTCACATCCGAGAAGGAGGGAATGTATTGGAGATCTTAAATTGGAAGCAACTCTTTTTTAGTCTCTATTTGCTGTAGAGGAAAGAGGTCCAGTGGAGGTAAACTCCCTTGGAGTGGTCTCTTAGCACAATTGGATGAAAACCAAGATTGACTTAGGAGTCTGAAGAGGAAAGTAAAAAAAATAAAAATAAAATAATAATAATAATAACAACAATAAAATGAGTGAAAAATAAATATTGAAAACATGGAAATGAACTAGATAAACCAAAGTCTTACGCAGTTCATCACAAGAAAGCGATGTGGGACACATGCCAAATTAGCCCAAAAGGTCTGGAAATCTTAAGGTTAGGTTAGGCTACATGTATGCTTTTAGTTTCCTTAAAAGAGTAATGGAGGGAAAAATAGCTTATTTAAGTGCATTACCTAAGAAGGTTGATAGCTATTTTTCACAATAAAAGTTGAGATTTTTACACTTGTCCTTGATGTCTCCCCATTGGACTCACTTTTTAGTAGCTACTAGATAATTTTCAGTGTGGAAGATAAACCAAAATAATCCAGAATGTACTGCCACCTCTGCCATAGTATTGACTATGAGAAAATCAGTGAAGTATTTTGAGCCTCTTTTGTTCCTTAGAAAAAGACTAGATCAGCTAATCAGGAGTCAAGTGAAAGAAATCAAGTGAAGTAACACATGTGCAAGTCCATTATAAGTTATAATAACTATGAAAAATGTCACAGTTATAATAGTTATTATTGTATTCCTGAAAACCTACGTGTTATTCAAATGTTTGGATTCATACCTAACATGGAATGAACTAGGGACCATAGAAATCTGATGTTTCTTTTCTCTATTGGAGATGCAGTCTTCAATGTTTCTATTTTAAAACTCTGGGTAATTCAAATACCAGATTGATTTAAAGCTAAATTTAAGCTAAATTTAGCTCTGCGTCTTGACAGGAAGATACTTCTGTTTCTCAGATGATCCACCTCACATATTCTTGCCCCCTAGGTTCATCGTGGTCTGTGGGAACATTACGGTTGACAGTGTGACAGCTTTCCTACGGAATTTTCTCCGCCATAAGTCAGGGCAAATCAACATTGAGATTGTTTTTCTGGGAGAGTAAGTTTATCTGTACTATTCACGGGCTCTAAATTAATCCTTGAAATATGTGTGCATTTTTTTAATGGAAAAAAATTACCCTCGCAATATTCACAGGAAAATTAGGAAATAATAATAAGCAAAAAGAGAAGAAAAGGCAATCTTACGACCAGAGTTAACCTCAGAGAATATTTTGGAATATATCTTGCCTGATGTTTATCTGTATATGTACTAACGTTGTTAAAGAGATTTCCTATCATTTACTCTTATATGACTGTGATTTTGTGCACAAGTCTGGCATTCTTTTTAATTGCTGTTCTGTTAATTATCAGAATTGGAAATGTGAGTTCAAATAGATGCAGAAAGGATTGTTTTTAATGATGTTTTTATTCTGTGAAACTTACATTTCCACAAGTAGAGTCCAAGTCAACTATTTTGTGAACCCCCTAGAAAATGCATACTTAATATGAAAAGGTTTTTAAGTAGGCAAAATGGTTTCTTATCGTTTTATTTTACAATTTTGGTTCCCAGTGAGATGGAACAATTTTTGTATGTTTTGACCATTTGACTCTCCTTTTTTGATGAATGAAGAAATTTGTCTTCATTTCTCATATCTGCTTTTCTATGAGGACGGTTATCTGCTGCTTTACTGACTTCTCAGCGGTCTTAATGTATTTTGATATTAGCCTTTTTGTGTCATTTGTTGTAAATATTTTTCTCTCTTTGCCTGTGTGTGTGCACGCAGAAGCATTTGATTTACATGTACTATAACCCATCGACTCTTTCATTGTGGCATCTGGCTTTTCTGACACTCTTTGGCCTCTCTGTTCTAGAATTAAGCAAATATTTCTCTAGCGTTTCTATGTTTCCATATTGAAATATTGTGTATGTAAGCTCTCTGGAATTCATTTTGTGTAAAGTGTAAGGAACTAACTTCTTTATTTTGTTCAAATGGTTTATCAGTTATCCACACACCACCAAATAAGTCAGGCAGATTGGAAAGGGCATTTTGATCTTGTACAGGATCATATACAGGATCACTTCCGCCACTTCCACCTTCACACATTTTATAGTTCAACACTTTGTACCTTGTACATTGTGGCATGTCCAGTCCAATACAACTTTGGGCTCCCCTGTATGAGATGACCAACCAGCATTTTGAACTCCTTCATGGTGCTACATTGAGGGACAGCCAACAGTTCTATTTCAGTGTAATTGCCTGCCTGTCTTTTCGGTAATTTGTATGTTACTTGAATCCTTATTTTAAAAAATAGTCAAAAACCGGGCTAAAATTAGTGATAAGAGGCTAATAATTATAATCCAGTTGAGACAAAAAGGAAATCATTAGATGTATTTACTGTTGTATGGACTAATGTAGGTTATTATAGGTACTTGTCAAGAGAACGAATGAAATTTTTTAAAATTTATTTTAATGTTTATTTCTTTTTGGGAGAGAGAGAGAGAGACCAAGAACGAGTGGGGGTGGGGCAGAGAGAGAGGGAGACAGAGTCTGAAGCAGGCTCCATGCTCTGAGCTGTCAGCACAGAGCCCGATGTGGGGCTCGAACCCGCCAACCAAGACATCATGACCTGAGCCGAAGGTGGATGCTCAACTGACTGAGCCACCCAGGTGCCCCTAAAACAGAAATGTGAGATTTTTTAAATGGTGCAAAATGTTGGAAGCACTCATCTAGAATTTTTCCCATTACCTATAATTTTTGATGACTCTGCAATTCATATCCTCCACCAGACATTCTCTGTGGCTCCATATTCACACAACTAAATTGCTTACTGAATATCTCCATCCCAGAGCTTCAAAGGCCCCTCAGACTTAACATTTTAAAAAACAAACTCATGATCTTATATCTCTCTCTCCAGCTAACAAGGCGAATACATAAAAGAAGGAAAGAACACGGCACTTTCTGTCTCAGCAAATTGGACCTTATCAGTGCAGTTCCTAAAAACAGAAAGCAAGGCATTGTTTTTGCTGCTCCTCTCCCTTAAGCCTTACGTATACTTGCATCAATATCATCAATTTTGTCTCCTAAAGAAATACTAATTGTGTCTCTGCCACTCCATATCCACTATCACAACCCTATTCAGTTAATATTTTGTATCTCCTTAAGTTCTGGAAAGGCCACGTTATTGATTTGTGCCTTTTTCTCAGAAACTCTTCTCCTGTTGTTATATGACTGGTTTGTTCTTATTCTTCAGCACTCAGAAATAAGGCCAGATGTTAGTATCACCTAACCACATGGATTAGTAATAGAGGATGGATGTTTTCCTACAGGGGATTAGGAGTTCTGTTAAAGCCACTAAATAAATACCATGAACTCTAAACCAAAGTCAGTCATCATCTTACATCTTTGGTACTATATTCTTTGCCCAGGGTTCCTCCTTCCTTGGAATTAGAAACATTATTTAAGTGCTACATGGCCTATACGACTTTTGTTTCTGGATCTGCACTTAAGTGGGAGGATCTGAGGCGAGTTGCGGTAAGAACTAGTTGTTTTTCTTCTGATTATCCTAAGCTGCAACAATTAAGATGATAGGATGTATTTCTCTTTCAAAAGTATCAGTCCACATGCTTAAATTGGTGGAAATAAGACTTCCTCAACTTTAAAAACTGATCATAAAGGAAATGTAGCTATTGAATCTCCAAATCCTCCTTGATAAATGTCAAGTAGACAGCACTGTTTACCTACACTTAACATTTATTTATTTCAGTAAATTCTCTACTTATCTAGAGCAGTTTTATTTTAGCAGTCTAAGAAATCTGAAAAAGTTATGGATGGCAAAAGTGTGTTTAATCTTATCATTGAATAGAATCCTTACCAGACACAGATTTCCCAACTTTTTCTAAACACACTGATCCGCTTTCTGATAAGAGAAACAGAAAGGAAAATAGCAGAAATCCCATTAAGGATGGATGAAAAATAATGAGCAAAGGCCAACAGTCTAGACAGCTTTCATTTAAGATCAAAGCACGTTTCCTCCCATGTTTTAGATTTCATAGAATCACATAAACCAAGGGCTGTAGTTTTTTAAATCAGAGATCTCTAGAGTTAACATAAAGAATTGAAATAGAAAATGACAGGCTCAGAATAATCTTTCTCTTTCCCGCAACTCAGTATTGTAAGTGCCACTTCAATAATTTTCTATACCCTTAAGATTCAGAATCCACAAATACTGAATGATGATTACTTTGGGTCAAGCATACCTCCAGTTCCTCCATTCTTTGCTGTCCTGAGAGGCAAATCAATGTATAGGAAGTTGCTTAAAAACATCGTTTTGGATAATAGGAAAAATATAACTATGTACTTTGCCTGTTTTAAAGCAGTCTTGCATCTGTGTTGGAGACCCTAATGCCCAGGTCTGTCCCCTGCAGCACTTCCAGCCATTACAGCATCTACAGGACTCTGATCCTGCTGTAAGGACATCCTTATCACCACTCCTTCCCAAGGGTGTTCTCTCTCTTATGGGAAATTTTATGATAAAACCACAGGGAAACCCAGAGGGGGAACACTAGAGCATTTCCTATGTAATTAACAAGATGGCTGCTGTCTAATCTTGAAGAATAGGTGGAATCTGCAGAAGCATGCCTGATTATAGCCAACCCTTTGTGCAGTGATTCGCATGCTGAAGACACTTCCAACATTATGAGGTAAGAAGCTGGCACTGTTTTATATGCTTCAAGATGATTTTATTTCTACCTCTTTTAAAATAAAGCCCAGTGGCCCAGTGCATGGGACCAAATAGGAGAAGATGTCATCTATTACAGCACTAGGTTCATTATATTCCAGGTTTCTGCCTATTTTTTCTTTCTTTTTTTTTTTTTCTCCCCAAAGCTGTGTGGATGCAAAAATAGAGTATCCTGAGTATCTTTGTGCTTTTCCATATACTTTCCTAAAGTTTCATATGGGTAAAAGTTATTTAAAATTTTTTTCTTACGTTTATCTTTTGAGAGACATAGAGAGAGCACAAGTTGGGGAGGGGCAGAGAGAGAGGGAGACACAGAATCTGAAGCAGGTTCCAGGCTCCGAGCTGTCAGCACAGAGCCTGACACAGGGCTCGAACTCACCAACTGTGAGATCATGACCTGAGCTGAAGTCGGACGCTTAACCAACTTAAGTCGGACGCTTAACCCAGGCACCCCAGGTAATAGGTATTTAAATTTAAAAAGCAAGCATACCAATAACTGATAACTGTTCAGATAACACCGTTAATAAATAACATCTTTAAACCTCCAAAAATAAAGATGCCATTTTCTGATTGGTGAATCCTATTAGTAGACTTTATTTATTGGAGTTTTTCTCCAGTAGTTCTGGTGAAATATTGTGTATCATTTGCTATAATGTGCTTGTGATTATTGGCAAATATCTTCCAGATGACTAGAATTGGTATTACTGTCTTTAACTATGAGCTGTGTGTGAGCGGGAACTTGACTTGTGGTGATAGTTTCAAGCTATCATGGTGATGGCAATGGCATTGTGCCCAACCATATGAACTTATGGACCCCAGAGCATAATAAACATACATAGCTAAAGGTGATTCTACAAACAGCAAGAAACAGTTGAGAACATATACTGTGCATAATACAGTATATATGAGTTGGACCTCAGTCTCTTAATATGTATAATGAGAACATTGGGTAAGACAGTCTATGAGCTACTTCAAGCTATAGACAGAAATGCGATCACTGTTTTTTTTTTCTGTAATTAATGTATTTGAAGGCTAAAGTACATGAAACTGTTGATTTCCTCCTCAAGAACTGGTTTCAGAACACCACAGTCTCCTAGTACCAAGAGCCGACCCTTCCATAGATTACATTTACTAAGTCACTAAAACAATATCATCCTTTACTGTGTATGCAATTAAACAGAACATTATTAGAAGACAGCATAATCGTGCATTTTATATGTTGTTTTATTATTGCATACTGTACATCACTGATGAGCATATTTGTTGTTTATGTAGGGTTCTCTCCATCAAAAACTATAACCCTAATACCAGAGTCATCATACAGATACTTCAATCCCATAACAAGGTATGGTAACCATCTAGCCTACCTATCATCCCCTTTTAGTCTATGGAGTTGAGTAACTTCCTTTGTCTAAATAATAAAACTCATTAATTTCTCACAGGTCTATACTCAAAGATTTTTTGCCAATTACAGGTGAAATATGGAGGCTCAATAAGATTTTTAATGACTTAAAAATGCAAATTCATAAAGAGGTATACTTTCATACTTTAGCAGCTGCTACCTGAGGGTCTAACTACTAATCCACCTAAATCTAGATGCTGCTATCATTTCCTTTGGGACACTGGCCTACCTCTCTTGGCACACCTATGACTACTTGGAGCCACTAAAAATGCAGTAGCCTGATTAGACAATCACAGAGGTTTGAGAGACAACCAAAAGCTAGGACAGGGTACACAAGGCCATTTCTTCAAAACTGAGAGAGGTGGATATTTTACCTAGTGCAGAATTTCAAGGGGAATGAAGAAACAGAGGAATATATTCTAAATGAAAGAGTAAGGTAAGACCTCAGAAAAAGACCTTGACAAAACAGAGGTGAATGACAGAGTTCAAAACAGTCATAAAGATGCTCACTAAGCTATGGAGAAGAATGGATGAAGAAAATGAGAACTTCAACAGAGACGGAATATATAAGAAAGTAACCAAATAGAAATCATAAGCTGAGGAATTTAGTAACTGAGCCAAAAAAAAATACAATAGAGGGGTTCAGCAGCAAACTAGATGAATCAGAAGAATCAGCAAACAGGAAGACAGGGTAGTGGAACTCACCTAATCAGAGTAGCAGAAAGAAAAAAGAGTGAAAATGAGTGGGGACAGCTTATGGGACAATATCCATTGGGTCAATGTTTGCATTATAGGCATCCCAGAAGGAGAAAAACAAAGAAAGGGGAAGAAAACTTATTTGAAGAAGCAGTCACTGAAAACTTCCCTAATCTGGAGAAGGAAACAGACATCTACATCCAGGAAGCCCAGATAATTTTAAATAAGATAAACCTAAAGAGATCCACACAAAAACTCATTATAATTAAAGTGTCAAAAGTTAAAGACAAGGAGAGAATCTTAAAGTTGACAAGAGAAAAACAACTTGTAATGTCTAAGGGAACCACTGTAAGACTAGCAACAGATTTTTCAGCAGAAACTTCACAGACCAGAAGGGAATGGCCTGATAGATTGAAAGTACTGAAAGAAAAAAAAACCCTGCCAATCCAGAATAGTCTACCTGGCAATGTTGTCATGCAGAGAGTTTTTCACACAAGCAAAAGCTACAGGAGTTCATCATCACTAGGACAGTTTTATAAGAAATGATAAAAAAAAAACTTCTTCAAGCTGAAAGGAAAGGGCATCAATTAGTAACAAAAAGATAAGAAAGTATGAATCTCAATGGCAAAAGAAAATGTATAGTAAAATTCAGAATAATCTAATGTTGTAAATGTGGACTAATCACTTATGAATCTCATATGAAGGTTAAAAGACGAAAATAGTAAAAATAACTGCAGTACTTAGTAAGGGATACACTAAGGGATATACCAAATGCTATAAATTGTGATATCAGAAACAAAATGGGGTGGGGGGGATAAAAATGTTGTTTTAGAATGTGATCAAACTTGTTAGGACTTAAAATAGATTGTTATAAAAATGAGTTATGTGAGCCTACTATGAAGTAGCCACAAAAGAAAAATATATGTAGATACACAACAAATAAAAAGAAAGGAATCTAAGACCTACAGAAAATCATCAAATCACAAAGGAAGACAGTGAAAGAGGAAGAAAAGAACAGAGCATTGACAAAACAGCCAGAAAACAATTAACAAATGACAATAGGCACATACCTATCAATAATTACTTTAAATATAGATGGGCTAAATTCTCCATTTATAAATGATTTAAAATTTGTTTAATGTTTATTTATTTTTGAGACAGAGAGAAACAAA